GCCCCGTTATAGCCGGGGGGGGGTGCTAAACCACGTCAGGTGCTGCCACGTCAGAGAGGCTCACAGGTGTCTTCAGTAAAAGTCATGGACAGGTCACGTGCAGTAAACAAAAGTGCCCGGCCCACGACCTGTCCCTGACTTACTATATCCCCGACTAAATCTTACAGGCTTGGGGGTGGGGACGGCCCAGGAGGTGCTGCAGATACTCGGGGGGGAGGTGTGCCGGTGCTCAGACCTGGGCCCCCTGCAGGGCAGTGGCTGGGAGGCTCCCTACTGGATCCCTGGAAGCTGTGACAGGTCCCTTCCTCGGCTCCTAGGGGGCGGGTGTCTCTACACCCCGCCCCAAGTGCTACCTCCTCAAATCCCATTGGTCAGGAACTGTGGCCAATAGGAACTGCAGGGAGAGGACTTGCAGGCAGAAACAGCGCACGCAGCTGCCTGGCCACGCTTCCACGTAGGAGCCGAGGGAGGGGGATGTCTCTGCATCCCAAGAGGCTCCTGAAGTAAGTGCTGCCCGGAGTCCCCCTAGCCCTGGGCGCGTCCGACACCCAGACTCCTGCTGCAGAAGTCACGGAGGTCCCAGAAAGCCACAACCCGTGATCTCAGTGCGGGAGGCGCAGCCTTGCACGTGTGATGCCAGGAAGTTGCTTTGGGCAAGGATTCCTGTAGGCCTGCCCAGGTGTTTGACTCTGACCCTTGAACCACTCCCCCCTCTGTCGGCCGTGCCCAGATCTGAGCTACGGAGCAAAGACTGAATTACTTACAATCGGGGTGAATGCTCCGTCGGCCACAACCCGTGATCTCAGTGCGGGAGGCGCAGCCTTGCACGTGTGATGCCAGGAAGTTGCTTTGGGCAAGGATTCCTGTAGGCCTGCCCAGGTGTTTGACTCTGACCCTTGAACCACTCCCCCCTCTGTCGGCCGTGCCCAGATCTGAGCTACGGAGCAAAGACTGAATTACTTACAATCGGGGTGAATGCTCCGTCGTAGAAACCCCGCCGAGGGAGTGGCTGGGGATGGGGTGGCGCTGGGGGCGGAATGCCCC